CTCAGAAGACTTTCAAGTAGAATACGGAAAGTGACACCAACACCTTCTCTCTGGCCATAAAAAATCCAAAACAGGAGAGATGAATTTAAGAACAAACTGTCCAGTTGCCAAGCAAAATTTGGAATAGGACTTACTGAGCTTGAAATTAAATTCTTCTCCTTCTCAGCCTCTCCAGAAGGTAAGAGATTCTCAAAGTAAGAAACTGGACTCAGGGAGGAAAAATATAGGTCACTATCAGGAAAAGATGTTCTAAAGATGAAGCCAAGGACTCAACTTCAGGAACTGTTAAGACTTCAGACACTTTTAAAATGATGCCCTTCAAACCTTTTCAAACAGACAAGAGGTTTTCTAAAGACATTAAGGTGGTGCCTTATAAACCTTCTCTGTTCAGTAACAGAGCATCTAAGAGTGTTATGAGCATTACTTTACAAAGCCTCACAGTAGACAAAGGCTCATATTAAAGAGACCCATGGTTTAGTTTTGTCTAATGGAATGGATATAACTTGATACACAAAAAGGTCAAGTTTTTTAAAAAAATAATTATACCTGGGTGCTCCTGGGTTAGCATCTCAGTCAGTTAAGTGTCTGCCTTTGGCTCAGGTCATGATTCTGGGGTCCCAGGATCGAGTCCCAAGTCAGGTTCCCTGATCAGTGGGGAGTCTGCTTCTCCTTCTGCCTCTCACCCCAACCATGCTCTCTCTCTCACTTGCTCACTCTTAAATTAATAAGATCTTTTAAAAAAAATTATACCTGTTTTGACTTAAAGCAACAGAGTCAATACAAAATAAATAAATAAATAAATAAGCCTTTGGACCCCTAATTTTTTATTGACAGGAAGCAAGCTGAGAAAGCTATTCAATTGCAGACACAAACTAATTTTTAATTACAAAAGATAAGATGTGTTAAAAGGCAAAACTAAGAGGCCAAATGATGGGGCCAAGTACCAGGAAGGACAACTCACAGGGAACAGCACTAACTCATAATTTTAAAATTGCCAACATGTGCCCAGTTGGATTTCAGAACTGCTACGGGCCAGTGACTGCTATGTCCTCCCATTTTCTCCATTCTTGAATGGAAAATCCTATTGAAACAATCATATTCTCATCTCGCCATTGTCTATTGGGGGAGAGAAGATAGATAACAGGTCTTCAGAGCAAGAGAAACCATGTTCAAGAAACAAAACCCAAATAGTCTCATCTACACCAAGACCTAAATTTGATGGTGAGATCCTGGATCTCAGACTTCAGTCTGATGTTATAATGCAGTGAGACCTACTGGTGAGTATATTTTGTACATGAGATGAATGTAAATAATTTGTGGCCCGAGAGAAGATGTACTGATTTGAAAACATGTCCACAAATTCTCTCACACTCCCTATCAAGAGGTGGGATATATGCCTTCCTCCAGCAAATGAGAACCATCCTTAGTGACTTACTTGTAACCACTAGAATGCAGCAGAAGTGATGATGTTTATGATCATAATAACCATACACTATATCCCATAGATATCCTGTAGATATCCCAACTCTTTGTCTTTTCTTAGTAACATTTCCCACCAAGGATTATATGTACACATCATCTGCTTTTCTAAGACCAAACCATCATTCAGTGTCATATTAAGTCCCATCTCCTCCATGAAGCATATCATTAGACTCCAGCCTTAGCAATTTCTCCCTCTTCTAAACGGTCTTGATTTTCTACAACTTTCATTTCACAATTAGTGAATGCCAGTATCACTAAGACACAATTAGTGAATTCATTGCTTTTCTGATGCATATTCCTTGGCTACCCTCTTGAATTATGTCCCTAGACAAGGGTTGAAAATTCAAACACTTACAGAAAGAAAGCAAGTAATACACAGCAGTGAAGTTGACATGGTGCAAAAGAAAAAAGTGGTCTGAATTAGGTTACACTAGGAAGCAAATGCTTCATATAAATGGGTTAGTCACCATCCAGCTACAGCACACTGATTTTCTTCATAGCAAATATTACCACCTGATATACATTTATTTGTTTATTGTCACTCTCTCCTCATTAGAATGTAAGTTCCCTGAGAATAGAAACCTTGTTGCTTTGTTTGCTGCTATATCACCAGAGCCCAGAACAATACCTGACACTCAATCAATAAATATTTGCTGAAGGAATAAATGAATGAACAATTATTGCCAAGTGGGAATGTGAACCCAAGATCTTCCCATTTTTCAAGAGAAGCCAGAAATAAATAATTTTATGTTTAATCTCTCAATTTCTAAATATTGACCATTAATTACAAAAATATTAAGCCTTTTAGGGATGGGTAAACAAAATATGTCTACCAGCTTGGATTCCATTGGAAAGATGCACATGCAATCACTCTACTAGAAGGACTTAAAGTTTTTTACCTTTCTAATTACTTAGAATAGTGCCTTGCAAAGTGTAGAAAACTTGAGAAGTAAATGACGATGCTTCAAATACACACACTTGAGGCACTGTTACGATTCAGCTGTAAATTATTTAGATGCTACTCTAGTTATACTCTCAGATCTCAAAGAAAACCGCATCAGCTTCTAATCCAAAATGACCACCTGGATTTCACATGACTGTCCCACCCCAAGATCCTAAAGCTAAACTTCCACTCCCTTCGGCTGTTAAGAGTTCAGAAATGTGATTCCCGTGTCCTCCTCCCCAGTAATAAATGCAAATGAAATGCAATGAAAATAAAAATAGATGGGAGATCCAAGGGGTGACCAAAAAAAAAAAAAAAAGAGCCAGGTTTTAAAGTGTATTTCCACTGTTGATAAATAAGGGCTCCCAGGGGCAATTTTGTTTTCCTTTTTGTTATCCTTAGCATTTTTAGATTATACAATCTAAAATTTTATTTCTGCTGACCTTTTGACGTTCTCTGGTAGCATGTTGTATCTTTCTACATAAAAATTATTAAGCAGGAATTTTAAAATGTTTACTAATTACTTGGATTCTTAACTCTAATAAAAGTCACATCTTAAATAATTAGAGTGTGTCTGGTTTTAAATATGGGTCACTTAGCAACAAGCTTAATTGTGTAGGGCTGAGAACACTTTTAAGATGCTTTAAAGAAAACATACTAGAAAAAACAGTTCCAGTGTGCCCTATGCTGCAAGCTGATGCACAGCAAGCCAGCCATCAACTTTTGAAGACGTCAAGGTAAATGAGATGTCTTGGTGTTCCTTTTCTGTGTGTCGTCCAAATGTACAGCCTTCAAGTATCCATAGGAGACATCAACAAACATCAGAGGAACTCAACATATCAAATGAGTACAAGTCCAGAAGAGCAAAATGTCTTCTGGCCCTCTAAAGCCAGGATTTAGGACCTAATTTTAATGACTATGTAGATTAATTCACTATACACAGCTCTTCAATAATGGCATTAATTTTTTATGGAGGCAGATTTTACTTTTTAAATAGGCTCCACAGTGATTGAAATTGAAAGTAACACTGAGAAAATTTATATATCCAAACCTATTTTTCAAAATTTAGGTTGTTATAGACCTATGAACTTTCTACAGAACAAGAATATAGGTTTCTATTAACTCCTTTTGTTGCGTTCGAATACAATTTCCACCGGATAGGGAGAATCATTACTTGAATTCTTTTACAGACATACAGCTAAAAAGACAAAACAGAGTTCCCAGGGCACATGGCAGGAAAGCCCAAAATTTGGGATCAGACCAATAAAAGTTTGTCTTGCAGCTCTACCACTTGTTTACTTTTTGACTCTGGGTCTTTAAACCTCAATTTACTTTATTCATCTGGAAAAAACAGAATCATAATACCTTGCTTTAGGGGCAACATAAAAATTAAAATAGATGCATATGTATTGTGTAAGCCATTGAAATGAGGAGGAAGTTGTTAACTCAGCATGGCCTGACCTAGCCTGACTAGTGCAATACAATAGCATACAAAAAATGCTTAGGACCTTGCTGTCACTCTTGCAAAAAATAAAAAAAGAACCTTGCTGTCACAAATGATAGTTATCACAGAAAGTCCAATTGACTCTTATAATAAATTAAATGCAGAGCATGACTTCTCTAGGCTTCCCATATGTCATGCTCCCCTAAAAACATATTTCTATACACTTGGGTGTTACGGGCTAAAAGAAGCTTTACAACCCTACAGAAATTCTAGTACATTGGCAGAACTCATGGACAAAAACGTTCACTGAGCGTTGCTGTTAATCAGAAAAATTAAAATGTTTATCTATAGGAGGATGACAGATTCTGATATCTTCGCTCAACCCATTCTATTCAGATAAACCACAAAAACATAATTTTAACCAAAAATTAAAATGAAATAAAAATAACTTAAAGAATGATATCTATAATACAAACCACTTATATGAAATTTTAAAGCATGGCATCTATTGTAGAAATATACATATACACATACTTGATAATTGTGTGATAATATGCATAGAAATAGCAAACATCAAACTCAGGACAGTAGTTATCTCTAAAGGAGGAGGCAAGGCAATGAGATCAGGCAGGTGCACACAGAGGGCTTCAACTCTATCCAATATGTTTTACTTTCTCAAAAACTCAGTTAGACTAGAGCAAAGATGATAAAACGTTTAGATTCTCTAGAGCTGGCTAGTAGGCTTGTGAAGTTTATTATATTATTCTTTACATTTTCTGGATATTTGAAATACTTCACAATAAAAAGAAGCAGCTTTCCCAGTCATATAAATAAAAAGCAATTTCCCAAAGCAGACAACAGTTGTTTCAGGAATACTCAGAAGATGAAGAGGGACAGATAAGGTGGGGGTGGAGGAGGTGGCGGAAGGGACAAGAAGCCTGGGTATGGAAAAGACAGTCCTCTTTGACTCTAGAAACCAGGAAGATAATTTCCCGCCCCCCAAGGGTTAACAAAAGAATTTAGCTATATAAGACCGGAAGAAGATAAAAATGATTCAGTGTTAATCCAGGTATCAGATTACTATACAGTGTGTACATTATCTAAAAATATATTTAAGTTTAAAATACTTACTGCAACCCCACTCTTGGTAGTAGTTTCTCTGAATGTGAAGTTGCAGATTGCCCAGGCTAAATAATATGTAGACATGAGAGGGGTCTGTGAAAAGTGATCCGTCACCCATCCATCTTCCTCAAACACGGAAGTTTCCACTGGCATATTGGATAAAGATAAATAGGTTGCTTGATGCTTGATGCTAATTTTGAAAGTAGCCTTGTAGATGGGCTCATCAAAACAAGGAAATGCCTTTCTGGCATGTGTAGGCGAAAACTGAGTAACACCAAGGAATCTGGAAAAAAGAAAATGACATTCTCAATTGCATTTATGGCTTCAGTTAAGTTATGACCATTTTACATGCTTCTGCTGATAAAATAATATACTTTGCCAAATCACAAGGTACTGTTTTCTGAACCAAACTTAAGTGCATGAATAGCATGAAAGTATAATTCATATACACTTCCCCTATGATAAAAATTATTCAGGGACATTTTTTATCTCAATTTAAAGGAAATTCTCTAAACCCAGACCAGTGTTTATTAGACAAAACATTACACTTTACAGAAAAACAACTCATTGGCATCCCATTGGCAAATACTGGAGAGTAACAGTTCTCCTTTTTGGTATGCCCCTATTTTCTCCTCTAATGGTGTACAAGTTAAGACAGTGAAACTAAAATCCAAAAGTTGTCCTCAGATATATGTAGAATATAGACCACCAGTGGGAAACATCTGAACCTTCAAATTTCAGCTAGGCACGATCTGATTTTGTTACAGACTTTGAAACCTGACAAAAGTTGGCCTAAATTCTGGCTTTACAACATTCTCAGCCGTATCATCTTGGAGGATTACTAAATTTCCCTAAGGTTTAGGTTTTCATTGCTGGAAAGGAAATAATCAAGCCTAACTTTTAAAAAGTACTGTAAAGCTTAGTGGGTAAAGAGGATATAAAGCATGTATCACCGTGAAAGATGAAGAGCAACCATCAGGCAGTTAATAAATGGCAGCCACTGATTCACAATGTCTTTAATCTTTCTTGGAGTGGTTTAACACATGTTTATATTGAATAATCCAGAGACTATTCGTTTTTACAACTCATAATATATATTTATTACATAAACTATAACTATGGTATTATTATGTTAATACCATATATAACACCAGATTATATATGTTAATGCCATATATAATATAATACCAAATATATATACCAAATATAATACATGCAAATTTGTATAATAAATATCTATATAATAAACATGTTGATGTGCATATGTGTGTATATATCTATATAAAGTACATTTAATGCGCTCAAGTTTTCAGATCAAGCTGCAAAGTTGCATTTCATTAAAACTAACTAGAAGCAACCTCTACATTCTTTCACAGTGATGGTTACAAATAGAAATACTCAAACTAACTTTAAGGACACTCTTTTAACTTGAAAAAGAAACCATTACTTATGAAAACATGCATGATACAAATCAATTAAACTTTTCTGATAATACTAGTTACAAAACTCAATATAAGGCAAGTCAATATCAGACCCTTCATAAAACATTACTAAGTACTGAAGTCATTTCTTTAAAAGACTCTCCCCCAAAAGTAGTTCTGCCACCACTCCCCTCTCCATCATCCACAATGTTCCTGGTTAATCTAACATGGCACACTTTCCCACTGAGCCCAAACTTGGCCTCAGAATTATTCTCAGCATAACACTTCAGGCAGCTACTAGCAATCAACAGGAGTTGACATGTGCATTGAATCTTATTGGCTATCCCTGGCTCAAACCATCAGATGTAAATGTTTATACCTTTTTAACATTATGACGCTTACATTTATCCTTGAGAGTCTACTTTTTTGAAAGTTAATTTTGAAATAGATAAGAATAAGACATTTTAAAAGATTAACTGTATACATACTCTCAGAAATAGAATTTTGGGGAGTTATCTTAGAAACAGTACTGGGTTGCTACCTACCAGGCTTGGGTAACAGCTTGAGCCTATTTTTTCATTAGTAAAAGGAAAATAATAATGCTTTCTACACTTTCCTTCCAAAGCTGTCGAGATGATAAAATGATATAATATATGGGAAAGAAGTTTTAACTACAAATCTTCAGACAAATATAAGATTAAAGTTGGAAGCAATCTTAGAAACAAACTGTCCAGCTCTCATAAATTTCTAAAATGAAAAAGGAATTCCAGTAGGATTAAGTGATTTGTCCAAAGTTACACTGGCAATTAGTACAAAGCTGGGTCTAGAAGTCACATTTTCTGCATCTGAGTAACAATTAATTATATTTTAAGAGTGGTAAAATAATCTTTAGCCATAACTTATAAACAATGTTTTAATTCGACTATTGGTAATAAAAGTTCTTTCCAAAAATGCCAGTACATGATAATATTTTTCCTTATGATTTTCTATCGATAGTAATATCGTTTTGTTTAATGAAATGTCAGTACCTTTTAGTTAAAATGTACCCATTTACAATTTGCTCTTCACATGCCTTTGTCTTCCATAATGTTTTTGAATCTCATCTTTCCATCTTATTAATTGAAATGTCCACTGAGCTTGATATTTCTTTCCTGAGCTGTTTAAAAGTTACCTACAGGATTCCATATATGAGTAACAAGTGTTCTTTTTTTTATTTTTTATTGTTATGTTAATCACCATATATTCCATCATTAGTTTTTGATGTAGTGTTCCATGATTCATTGTTTGTTCATAACACCCAGTGCTCCATGCAGAATGTGCCCTCTTTAATACCTATCACCAGGCTAACCCATCCCCCTACCCTCCTCCCCTCTAGAACCCTCAGTTTGTTTTTCAGAGTCCATCATCTCTCATGGTTCGTCTCCCCCTCTGACTTACTCCCCTTCATTCTTCCTCTCCTGTTATCTTCTTCTTTTTCTTTTTTCTTAAAATATGTTGCGTTATTTGTTTCAGAAGTACAGATCTGTGATTCAACAGTCTTGCACAATTCACAGTGCTCACCGTAGCAGATACCCTCCCCAATGTCTATCACCCAGCCACCCCACCCCCCCACCCCCAACCACTCCCGTAACACTCAGTTTGTTTCCTGAGATTAAGAATTCCTCATATCAGTGAGGTCATATGATACATGTCTTTCTCTGATTGACTTCTTTTTAACTTTCAAGTGTCTGAGAACTCCAGTTCCACCACTGACAGACATTGTCTGCTGTGTATGAGCTTTCCACTATATTAGGTACATGGTAGGATTTTTTTTTTTTAAGATATAACCTTTTTTCTATGGACTCTGAGAAACAAACTGAGGGTTCTAGAGGGGAGGGGGTGGGGGATGGGTTAGCCTGGTGATGGGTATTAAAGAGGGCACGTATTGAATGGAGCACTGGGTGTTATATACAAACAATGAATCATGGAACACTACATCCAAAACTAATGATGTAATGTATGGTGATTAACATAACATAATAAATTTTAAAATTTTTTAAAATAATAATAAAAAAAGATATAACCTTTTTTGTCCTTAAGGTCATGATAAGGTAGACAACTAATAATTTGGGGGAAAGTTCTGCAAGAATTCAACAGAAGGGTTGTAAATAGAATGTACTAATCATTAAGTAAAAATCAAAGGTGTCCTTGGCATTAAGTAATTAATGGGTAGGAATTTATTAGATATAGAAGATTAAATGCCCCTGGGTTAATGAGAAATTCATAAACCAAATATTTATGCAGAAGAATCATATTGTGTACTCTCTTTTTGCCTTACACAGTAAGTAAATATGTTAGTAAAGCTAGCAGTTTAAATCACTGATTCTCAGGGTTGAAAGGAATATAAAGACCATCTAGTACCTTTTTCTGCAATTAATATTCTTAATGAATTCACACACACAGTATATATCTATGCACAGAGGGCCACCATATATTCTGATATTGTCTAAATGAGGAAATACCAATTTCACAGTCTGGCAACTGAGAACGATTGCAACTGAATTTCAATTTCAGTATTTAGGAAATCAGAAGAAGTCCCTTGGTGACGAAGAGCAGTTGGACTAGATTACTTTTTTAGGTCTTTTCCAAGCTTGAGATTCTATAACTGAACAAAATTGAGAAATAAAATATTCCCTGAGTTTGACGAGATGTTTTTAAATATTAAATTACACTACTGCTAAATAGTTTTTTTACTACAAGCTCTATTATGCATTTGTTTCTCTTAATCATCATTCTTGAGTGTTCAAACACCGAGGAGAAAAAGAAAAGTATATATGCTTCCTTCCCTCAAACAGTTTATACTCTAATGAAAGAAATTAAACAAATACCCCAGCAGGTATTCTATAAAAAGCCATGACAAAAAAGGAAAGTGTACAAAGGCATGACATTCTCCTGAAGCAAGGCTTCTCAATCTCTGCACTACTGACATTTTAAGTTGGATAATTATTCTTTGTTGGGGGCTGACCTGTATCCTGTAGGATGTGTAGCAACATCCCAGGGCCTCTACCACTAGGTACCAGCAGCACTTTCCACCCCAGCTGTGACAACCAAAGGTGGGGGGGTGGGCGGGCAATTTACCCTGTTGAGAACCACCTGCCTTAGGAACAGAAGAGGCTTCACAAAGGAAGAAGTGTAAGAATTTGTCTTAAAGCCTGGGTAGTATTTTAAAGGTCAGAAGCAGATGAAGAAATGAGGCAGAATCCAGGTAGCACAGAAATAAACACTTTAAAAAGTGTTGACTCACTTAATAAGTGAGTGTGCTGTCTGTCTTCTCACAGATTCTGGCTTTATCAAGTCTCAGCATTGCCGGTCCATCTCTAACATGTCTCTCACCCTCAATAGCCCCCTGTCTAACAGAGACCTAGTTCAAGCCTCTGTCCCCTCAACAGGCAACAGTGTCTGTTGGGTTTCAAAAATATCATTCTGTCTTCATCGTATGTATGTTAGGATTGCCTTCAACTTGGTGGAAGTGCGACTTCTTTTCTGTTTAATGTCATTAAAAACATCAAAGAGGCCTCTAAACAAGGTGATTTGGAGGAGAAAATAATAAATTTGGGATTTGAGTAAATTCGAAGTAAGTCAGAGGTGGTAGCAGGACACCAGATAGAAGAAATACAAAAAAATTAATTAAAAATAGAAAACAATATACAGTATGGATACGAGATACATATGTAAATGCAGCTAGAAGTAATATAAAACAGCAGGAGGCAAAAGGTAATAGGGACAAGTATTTCGTTTTCTGTTTTTCTCCTGCTTTTTTTAAACAAAATCATTTTTATCTTTTAATGAATCTATTACCATGAAAAATGCCATTTCCAAAAGT